TCCGCTTTCTCAAAATAACTCTTGTGTTTCCTTCTCTTCCATTTTTAAACTTGCCTTTAAGAAGAGCCCACACGAAATCCCAGACTCTCCCTCCTCTGGTTTCGGATGCTCCGCTGCCTCGTGGGGTCGGCTTGTCATCCCCGTGGGAGCTCACATGGCCGGGAAGTTGCTCTCCTGCCCGCTTCCCCCTCCCACGCCTATTTTAAGTTTCTTCAAAGGAGAAACAAGGGGCTGGAGTTTGCTTTGGAAGCCAAGTGATTTTTAGGCAAGAATGGAGACTTTCATAGTCTGCAGGGAGGTTTTTGTTGTTGACAAAGATATCTTTAGCTCCAGGCCTGTTGGAGGAGCGTGAGATGGGGTAAGAGCGTGACCTCCCCAGCCACAGTCTGTCTGCTTGTGGGGAGGGAGGTTTTTTGGGGGCAGATGCCGCTTGCCACGTCTGCGGGTCCCCTTCTGTATCCGTGGGCCCCGCAGTGACACAGATCAGTGTTTGTGGCTCAGCCGCCTTTCTTGAGACACCTTGATCCCTCTGAAAATGCGTGTGGAGGACTAGTATGTGATGGGCTTCACCTTGCCATCTGAGTTGTGCCTAAATGTGCTCCAGAGGAGGTGCCCCTGCCCTTGGAAGTGCCCACGGTTCACTCGTGCCTCTGCTGGTGTGAAACCCAGAGCGGCTCTGCCAGAGAAACACAACTCTGATGGTAAATGGGAGTAAAATTCAGCCCTGGGGCTTCAGTCCCGCTGCAAACACTGCTGCTCCAGTGCTTCCTAATACATTTATTTCTGTTAAATAACAGGGATTGCAGGCACAGGTGGGGTTATTCAGTAGATGTAGGATGAACCCTCTGGTTTCCTTCTGCAGGGTCAATCACTAAATGTACTCCTAACAAAATCAATACTGGAACTAAGTCCTCGGTGGAGGACTTGGCAAGGAAAAGATTTAACAGGGCTGCTGGTGGCCTTCAGCAAAGATCCTGCAGCTGGGGGGAGGAGTTGGGGGCTGCCCTTGCACTTGAACAGTTTGAGGTTTGCCTAAGTTCTCCAGCCAGGCTTCTGGCTAGCGGGGTCCACCGGCAGGAGCATGTCTCCCTGTGTCCATGTGTCCTTCAGGACGAGACCCAGTGTGGTGGGAACGTTCTTCTGGGTGTAATATGTCCTTTCCAATTCCGCTGCCAGCTCTCACCTCAGTCTGTGTGGCCTTTCAGACAGCTCATTACAGTTCTGCTATGATCTGATAAATGCAGCAAGGAGCATCAGCAATTACAGTGGTGTCAAGTGTTAATTGGGCAGCTTTCAAGATAGAGGCATTTCTTTGTGTACGTACAAAGATATGACGTGCTCAGAATAGCTTCCCCTCCTGATCCTTCGTTCTAGAGACGTGTATATTACAGTCGGTTAATGCAAGACAAATTATGTCATTCTTCTTGATTCGCCACATGTTCTGCCTATGGTGATTTGCCTCTGGGTTGTCTCATTAAGTTGTCTAAACATGGCAAATGCCGCAGCTGAACATACTCAGCTTTTTCTCGAAGTTAATCGTATTGTACACACGGGCCTGCAGTATCATCGGTTCCTAGCAGTGCCACCCGCCGCTGCCAGGGCATCTTTCACCAGCACTGGTGCCCAGGAGAACAGGCCTTTGGTGGGACCGGCTGCCTCGAGCTGGGGCTGCAATCTTCTACCTGCAATTATGCTGCCTGCAATTAATTGGTTTGCTGGTTTTTGTCCTGAGTATACATCACAAAAAATTCAGGTGCGCTGATGCTTCCTGCTCACCAGCAAGCAGTGGCAGACAGGAGGGTGGTTGGCCAAATCACCCTCCTGTCAGCAGATGCAGAATATTTTATAGCAGTTTTAATGACACACACCTCCTCTGAAAATCTTGTCTCCTGATTTTAATTGTTTAAGACTTCTAAATGCCATGGTGCTGATGTGCTCCAAGGTCAGCAGATCTTACAGCTCATGGAGACCAAAACATTAAGCTCTGACTGGGAGTTCTCCACTCTGTGATGAATATTTCCAAGGGGCAGACTTGGCTTGTTCCCTTTGATGGAGTCAGGTGCATAGCAGAGGAATTGTCTAATGCTTTGGGGGGAGTCAGGCTGGGCTCTGCAGCTCTTCAATTTCTCACCTGGGCTGCCTCTGCTGGGGTTTGGTTTCCCTGTTATCTGCTGGAGCATCCCTGAGGATGGCAGAGCTGGGTGCTGTATTAGCTGGGGCTCCCTGTCTTCATGAACCTGGTGGGTAATCCTCTTTCAGGGAAGGGATCTCGCGCGGAATAGGCACGCACTCTGTAGAAGATGTGGTATTTTATGAGCAGGGTAGGTAAGTGTCTGCTATTCTTCAGGCTACATCAATCTGAAGCTTTGTGAGTGCTGTGGTTTGAAGGTAGGTCCTGGTGCTGAAGATCACTTTGCTTCCCCCATGAGTCAGGTGGGGACAGTCCCTTCTTTCCCTTACGCGTCAAAGTAACCATGAAGGACACTTAATGTGGTACTTTAACATAAAGCTGGTTTTCGGTGAAGGTTTGCTGGCCATGTGGTCTTCTACAGCTGTTGCCTCCTGAGCTGCTAGTGGGATGATTTGCTGGATACTAATGAGAACATGAGATCTCATGGTGACAATCCCTGTCCTCGCTGAGGAGCATGTGGCACCTTCACTTCAGCAGCAGTCTGGTACAGGAGAAGAGTTGGGAGCAGTGTGGAAAATATAATTGCTGTGTGTAAACACATGGCTGCTTTCCCTGGAGCCTGAGCCCCAAGCGAGGGCAGGCGCTTCCTTTTGGTGCAGCTCTTTCCCAGCATCTCCCAGACTCCATTCTGGGATGCACTTGCTTTCCAAAAACCCATCTCCATCCTTGGCTTGGCTGTGCTTTCCCCGTGGTCCCTACAGGCATCTCACAGACGGTTTAGCACCAGACAGAAGCATGGTGTACACTGAACAGCACGCTGGCAATGCGGGAGCAAGCTGCTGGGTGGCTGCCCTGGCTGCACATCCCCGGGGGCTGCGGGGTGAGCTGGGTGCTGGGGATACCTCTGCACCCATCGGTCCTCCTAGGATGGAGCAGGAACTTGGGAGAGGTCAGAGGGGCAGAGCAGCTCGCCGGGACGAGCTCCAGCTGCCTTTTGGGCTCTGCCACAGCAGCCCTAACTGCTTTGCTTCTCTGCATGTGTGTGTCCTTGCCTGTGAGGTGCAGGCGGCGATCGTGGCATCTGTGAACCCCAAGGTCTGCTGAGCGGGAGCGCTGCGGATGAAGGGGCAGGGATGCATTGAGAGCGGGGCTGCTGCGCGCGTCGTGCGTACATGTGGGGACGGTCCCAGAGCAGCCACGCTTCGTGGTTCCATCTCCTGTGAAGCATCCTTGAAGTCACTTCTAAATAGCAAAAAAAAAAAAAAAAGGAAAAAAAAGCTTTGTGTCCTCCTGAGCGTGTGGTAAATAGAGGAGTTAGAAATGTGTCCTGGTCGCCGTGTTGCGGTGAGGCACCTGGCGTGGGCTTTGCAGCCGGGCCGGGGCTGTTTCGGTGAGGTGCTGAGCTCGGCTGCAGGCAGGGTGACTCATGCAGCTGCTCCCGGGGCCAACTCTGCAAAAGTGCACGCTGGCAGATCAGACTGTGTGGGTGTGCAAAGCCCCGGCAAGGAACTTGCACACCTACCAGCCGCATCAGCGCTTCTGGGGACCGGCCGGCGGCAGGGGAAGGGATAGGTGAGGCTTTTGGAAACCCACCCAGATGGGTGGATGTGGGGGAAAGCCGGCAGGACGCTGTGCCAGCTTTTGGTGAGACATCCCCCGTGCTGAGACCCTGGGAAACTCGGCGTGAAGGTGAGGTGCCTGCTGCTAGAGAGCAGCGAGAGCCAGACCCCAGGACTGAAAACCCTTTCATGCCTGGGTGGGGGGGTAGTAGTGGAGTGGGGGTGTCTTCAACCAAGGTTTGCCAAAGCCCCTCTGGCTCTGCCAGGGAGCCCAGAGCCCTCCCCAGCTCCCCAACCCTGGGGCTCAGCTCTCACCAGCAGCTCCAGCTGGGCTCTAGTGCTTATTGGGTTAAAATGTTGAATGTCCTCCAAAAATGGGTTCCCCCCCTCCCTTTTAAATCCCGGGGAAGCTCAGCTCTGCCCACTGATCCTTCACCCCTATTTTAGGCAGCTGTGGATTTTCTCTCCCCACCCCAAAATAGTTAAAACTACCTATTTTATTGAACAAACGCCTCCAAAAATCTATCTTCTTGCCCCCCTCACTGCCAGGTATTTGGTTTTATTGTCTCATCCCCGTGGCTCATTGGCAGCATGCAGCGTTATGGATTTATTGGACTGTCAGTAACCCCCACTGAAAAGCCTGGCTTTGCAAGGAAGTGCTGTTTACTGAAAACGTCATCTTTTATTTAGACTTCTGCTACAGCCAACCCATGTCTTTTTTTTCAGGCCTGTTTAATTAGTAACCACCGCACAGCCCCTGACATGTGTTCCTGGGTGGTTTTTTTTTTTCTCTAATAAGCACTAGGTATCTTGGCCAGGGACGGGAGGGGGCAGAGAAGGGCTCCTCTGCGGCGGGGAGGGAAGCGAGAGCAAGATGAGGAGCCAAGGGCAGCTCAAATCTAACAATCACATGCTCGTGAAGCGATGAATCCTAGAAAGGGCATCTCTGCGTGCGTGCCGGCTCTCCCACCCTCCTCCTCGCACGGCGGCCGTGCAGAGGTAATGGGTGTGCTCCCCCCACCTGGCACCTGCAGGGGTAGGGGATTCGGGTCGCTTCCCGGGCAGAGCTCGGATGCATTAAAGTTGTGATAACTCAGGTGCTGGAACCCTTCGCCTGTGGGGCTTTCCTGCAGGTCCAGAGGCTGAGCTGAACCTTTCCACCCACTTCCAGTCAAGGGTGGGATTTCTGGCAGCTCTGCGGAGGTTTGGGAAGGGGTTTGAGCACAGAGGGAGAGCTGGAGCAGAGGGCTGGGACTTTAATTGATGACAGAAATAACTTTTCTTCTCCCTCTCCCCTTTCTCCCCTGCAGAAGAAGGCAGAGGCTGCCCACCGGATCCTAGAAGGACTGGGTCCCCAGGTGGAGCTGGTGAGTGTTACCTCTTGCTGCGGGGAGTGGGAGCCGGGCCAGGTTTGGAGAGGTCCCTGGGCGGCGAGCATGGCACCCTGTGTCTGTGTCTAAGCTGTCAGGAGGAAGCGTGCTGCTGGCCTGGACCTCTCGCTGGCACAGCACCAAGGCAGGAAGCGAAGTGGCTGAGATGAGTACTGAAACACAGGCAGACACACACACACAGAGCCCTTTTCAGAGAGCCTTAACCCTTAGGCTTCTTCCTCACAAGCTGCAGCAGAGGAAGGGGCTCCAGCACACTCTGCCTCCGCTCGGGGTGCTGATGGCTTCATCTGCTGATGGCAGCCACGGGGCTGCTGCCTGGCCAGCCAGCCTCGTGGTGCTGCGTGGGAGGGGTGGGTGCTGGGCTCTCCTCTGACCCACCCTGCTGAAAATGGAGACCGGTGCTGGAGGGTGCTCTGTAAGCACGGCCCACTCACAGCTGCAATGGCCTGCAGGTATGGGGACTCACACACATCCTATTATTGTCTCACAGGGAAGTTGAGAAAAACAACTTTGAATAAATTGTCAGTTTTGGGCTGCCCCATCATCCAACAAAATCCAGCTGCAAGTCAAGTGATTGATTGCTGGAGGGGTGGCTGAAAACAACCCCTGAGAGGCTGAGTCCTGGAGAAGGGTGCTGGGAAAGGGTGCACCTGCAGCGATGTTGCTGGAAGGATCGGAGCGGGGACAGTCGTAGTCTGACAGAGCGTTTCTTGCTTTGCACTGGCCATGGGGTGCAGTGGAGGGAGCCATTCCTGTGAGGTGGGGGTGGGCAGCTCATGGTTCTCGGCAGCTGTAATTTGGACTTGCCTTGTGGAGTTGGTACTAATCGCCGTCTTCCCTGGGTGTGTAAGGGAGAGGTCACAAGGGAATTAGCGCTCACTGCTACGTGTTGAAGCCCACTTCCTTGTTTGCGGAGGTAGCGCTTATTATTTTTCCTTTGAGTCACCAGGGTCAAACCCTTTGCTCTCTTTCTGCTCTAAAGATTGGCAGTGCTGAGGTTGGTACTTCCTTAACCGAAAGATACTGCATTTCCTTTCCTTCCTTCCCCTGCTTTTTTTTTTTTTTTTTTTTCTCTCTCTCCTTTTTTACCTTTTCTTAGTTTGTTGTTGCTTTGCCCTTTGGGTGCTGGTGGGTACAGGGGAGCTGTAGCAGAGCCCAGTGCAAACCTTTCCTCTGTCGCCCTGACTTATTCCTCGGAGGTCAGGGGAAACCTCTGCTGAAAAAACCCTGCAAAACCCTGGTTGGGCTCTGCGTGCGTTTTGCAGACTGTCTCCTCTGTGTGGGGGCTGGGCCATAGGAAGCGTCTCGCTCTGGGCACACAGAGTCAGGCAAAACAGCACCCAGGACCTGCCAACGGCCTCTGAGAGACAAGATGAATAGTCAGATCTTCTTCTGAGTTGGAAAGGAAGCAGCTCCAGGAAGGAGAGCATCTTTGCATGCTCTGCCTGATGTGTTGCACGCCATGTGCACCAGCCCTGGAGCTGCCACAACCCCGAAGTCTCTTGCAGGGAGGTTGAGCAGCCTGATGCTAATCCTGTGCAAAACCTCTGCGAGGAGTGGCGGCGGCTGTCACCCAAATGCAAGGTCTTGGATTGCTGTCGGCTCCGCTCAGGCTGCTGACGCCTTGCTTTTGGTTGTTCAGAGAGCTCTGGTTATTGTATTTGCCACAACGATGGCGACAGTTCTACCTTCTGTCCTGCTGGCAACAGGTTGCTCCATGGGGTTTGTATTTGAGCAAAGAATTACTGCCTGAGCACATCGCTGCCTGTCGTGTTAGCTGGAAGGAGGGGTTTTGGGAGTGATCCGGTATAGCATAAGTAGGGATTTACCCAGAAGTTTTGGGTCTGTGTCACGGGTTTCCCATCAAGTTGGAAGCTGCTGGGAGATGGCCCAGCTCTGATAGGAAACTCTAATTCCTGACTGTAGTCTTTTAAACAGCTCCCTCTGAGCTTTTGGGCTTACAAGCTCTTCACTGAAACTGTTTTCCTTGGGTTGTACATCTCAAGGAAGCAGCAGGTGTTTGTTGCTGGTTCCTGGCTTCTCACTGCTTTGACCTTACAAGGTCACTTTTGATCTTAGAGGTGTCATTCATGTTGCATCCTCTTCGGAGGATCCTCCTTTTTGTGATGCTGGGGTTTTAACCATATGGAATTGTCCCCGAATCCCTTTACCCGTTAGTCCTTGCTGGTGCCTCTCCAACCTGTCTGCTGGGGTTTTGAGTGGCCCTGCACCTCTTCCCTGGCCCTCACCTCAGCCCCAGCTGATGCAGAGCACTTGGCTGGGGCTCGTCTCCCTGTCCCCACGATGGAAATCAGCCCCCCTGCCCAGGGATCCCCGGGAAGCAGGGATCCAGTTCAGGTCCCGGGAAGCTGGCGCTCGCCTCTAGGTTAGGAGGAGGTTGTGACTCAGTAAATCAGGACTCTGCTCATTTTATCCCTGCAACGTAGCGATACCGTTTTAAAAATGACCCCTTGTTTTCCCCAGGGAGAAATGTCATTGAGATGTGTAGTCTGAACACTGCAGTGGCCAGAAAGCAATTGAGACCTTTCATTCTGTTTTATTTTTAAAGAGCTTTCAGTAAATCCAAGGTTTTTCCAGTAATAGCTTTGCATTGCTATTACGTTTTCGTTAAATGTCATCCCCCGGAGAAATGCATTATGTGTCCCTTAGCCTGGAGAAACACGGTGAATGTTTTGAACATGTCACCTTACCCATCTGACCTGTCAGCTTTACTTCTGCTTATTCATTGAGAAAGCTGTGATTCTGTGCAGGTTGCGGATGGCTCCGAGGGAAGATGCTGTTTCTCAGTTGAGAATAGTTTCTTTAACTATTTAGTCTGTGAGGATGTGTTCTCTGTAGGGTAGGTAGAACTCGTCTCCTGGGCTTGCTTCACTGCATGGGCTGAGTTACAGTGCTGAGGCTCTTGTGCAGAGAAAACTCTTTGAGATGCTGGTGTCATGTGGATCTTGGGTTTGGGTCCCAGAGTTTCTTATTTCTGAATGTTTGGGTATTTATTTTAAAGTGATGTGTTCCAGTGCTTGTCTGTTAACACTTAGGTTTGCTAACTAAGAATTTAAGTGGCTGCTTATATCGTAGTTAAGTAATAGTGGAAAAGCATCAGCAGCCTTGGGTGAGCTGAGTGGCATCAGGGCATCCATGGTGTCCATGTACACATGAGCGTCTTCTGACACAGGTGCAAACCAAAACTTTTACTCCATTTCCTTCTCCCAGAAGGAAGGTCTGTGGCTTGCCACATGCCGGCTTATTTGCTTTGATTTTTATGAGCACGGATGGGAGAGAGGGACTTTTATCAGTATTTCCCGTTCCTGCAGATCTCTCCCCAGAGGCAGTAGTCACTGGTCAAGGCTGCCCCGTGGTTCTTCCAGTCAAACCTTTCCGGTTTGGCTGTGGACATGATGCTCCAGAGCTGCGGCTTGATTTCTTCTCTCTGTGGTGCAGACCTGCCTCTCTCAAGCTACGTGATGAGACGGATGTCTGTGTTCTTCCGAGCTTTCCAAGCGTGAAGTGCACAGCCAGCTCTCAGCCTGGAGCTGGACCAACAGATCTGAGAGGATGAGCGATAGAAATACCCCTGGGGAAGGGACGTTACTGAGAACTTGTCTCCTTTTGGGGGACCTGCTTGTCCCCCTCATCTGCCCTGGCGCTGCCAGCACGGGGTGGCCGGGTATCTCCTCGCGGGTGTCCCGTGGCAGACTTGCAGCCCGCTGTCCCCTCGCACAGATGGGCAGCCCTGCAGCCCTCCTGGGACGCGGCGGTTCATCTCATCACATCTGTCTGCCTGGGCTGCTCAGAGTGCCTCTTCCACGTGGGGATTGCATGTGCTTTCCCAGTGAAGAGGGACGTGTCCAAGGGCAGCCGGAAAAAGAAGCTGATGACCTTCTGGTGCCAAGAGGCAGCAGTGATGGGCTGCAGAGAGTAGGGAGAGCTACACTCAGTCTCCTCTCTGTGCAGATTGATGTGGCAGTCTCAGAGGTGAGGCAGTATCTGCTTTTTATGGGACAGTAGAGACAGGCTGGCTGTGTGAAAAACGAGGTTCTGTGCCAAGCACCTGTGATAGCGATGGGGCGATGCCATGGAGGAGGTGAGAATAACACCTTCTTCAACCTGCAGGAGAAAGGGATCCACCTGTGTTTGCAGGTCCTGTCCTGTCCAGTGCTGCTCACCTGGTTGAGCAGACATTCAGCAGATGTTTCACTCTTTTCCTGTGTTAAATCTGAGATGAAGTTGAGCATACCCAGAGTGTAGCCTCAGCTGTGTGACCACAGCAGGAAGATCAGCTGGTTTGTACGTAGCCATGGCGAGGATGCTGCCTCCAACCAGCACCCAGAGATCATGTGTCCCCCTGCCTGTCTTTGGCCACAGATTTTAGATCACTCACAGCTGATTTGGTGAAAGTTTGTGGATGAACCGCTTGAAAACTTGGGTGATGTTTCTGTGGTGGGACAGGAGCTGCGCTCATTAAGCGCCCGGTTGCTGATGATGGCTGGGCCATGGCAAGCTTTTGACTAGCACACAGTCTTGGATGTGTTCACACCAGCTTAGCTGATGATTAGAAAAGCATTGAACCTGAGCACCCTGTCTGCCTGCTTACCTGGACACAACTGGTGTCAGCTCCTGGAGCACCACTTGAGCTGTTAATCGCAACGGGTGGGATCCAGTGTGGTCCCTGTGGCACCTCTCCCAGAGGTGGGACCCTGTGTTGTGGCAGGTTCCCTGAGGGTACATCACCCTGCGACTGGGAAGGGAGAGGTAGCGAAGGCAGTGACCGGCTGAAGGTGGCCAGGGATGGATCCAGCTCCCCTGATTCCTCGTGGAGGGTCCCAGCACGTCCCCGCTGAGGGTGTGGGGGGCACAACAGCTCCATGATGGGTGCTCATATCTGGTGCTGGAGATACCCGCGGTCACTGAGCTCTCCAAAGGGCAACCCTGGGCAAAACACTTGTCCTAGTGTCCCTCCTGAGGGATGGACAAGAACATCGTTCTACTCATGGGTGCTGGGGGACGGTGGTAACGTGCCCAGCCCACCCCGCCTTCGCTGGAAACCACGGGGAGGAAGACTTGTCCTGCCTGCAGTTGCCTGCGCTTGGCTCCCTGGGAGAGCTCAGGCAGGCTTTCGCTGCGTAGACATAACAATTTGCAGCACACAGACTGTCTCTTCCCGCTCCCCAAGCCCCCCTTTCCCCTCGCCTCCCCCGTGTCATATGTTCCAAAGCGCACTGCGTTTTTCAATCAGTGAATAACAACCACGTACTCCGCCGTGCCGTGTTTATGTGGATTACGTCGCAAATTGCTTGTTCTGAGCCAGCTCGCTCGAGCGCTGCCTGCCCTCCCACGGGCTGAGCTGGAATGCACCGGGAGCCAGCACCCTCCAGTACGGCCAGGGAGCGGGACTGGGGGCAACGGGGCGGGCTGGGGGGCGCAGGGACAGGCACCGGGGCTGGCACAGCTCGAGGAGACGGGAACCTGCACGGAGGCGGCAGCGCTTCTGATGGGTTTAAGTTTCTAAATGTCAGACTGTACCATTTATGTCTTCATTTTTCTTATTTATTTCAGCCATTATACAACCAGCCTTCAGACACCAGGCAATACCATGAAAACATTAAAATGTAAGTATGTTGCAATAAAGGCTATTCTAAATGTCAGGTTGGGCATTAGGCTGGAGCGGGAGGGATGCTGGCTTGCTCCCAGATCCTGATTAAAGCTGCCAGACAATTGCGAGCATCCTTTTAGAGCTGGTGTTTCGCTTCTCCGGGTGCCTGAAGCACAAACCAGCTCTAGGAGCAGCTCCAGGAGCCCAGCAGTTAGGAGCTGTAGCTTCAGATGGATGCTGAAGGTGCTGTTTGATTTTTCTCGGGGGGCGGGGGGGGAGGTGGTCACAGGTCCTGGCCAGTGTCTTGGCGTTTTCCCAGAGAGCACTCACCTTGGGTGCCGCCTTCTGTGTTTCATATTGAAGTACAAAATCAGCTGCCAGCGTGCATGTGTGTGTGTTTGCATGCGGGGAAGATGAGGTAAAATGAAAAGTTGCAATTACAATTAGATTTTCATGAAGCACCTCTTGAATGTCTGATAACAACTGGTTATTTCAAAGATACTCACCGAGACTTAGCAATCATCTAATTTGACTTATCACTTCAATACACGATTTAATCATCAACCTGCATTTAATAACCACAGTGACTTCCTGAACATAAAAGAAATATAACAGATAATGAGAGTAGTGATAATTGTGATTATTGTTGGAAATTTAAATAGTCAAACCAGATCTGAAACTTTTATCTGCCTTGAATGAACCAATGATTGCACTGAGCTGCCTGCAGCGTGTCTGTTTTGGTACGGGCTCGGTCAGTTGGCGATAATCATCTTTAATAATCTATTAACAAAAGTTGATAATCTTTTGCTTTTCAGCGGTATGTTAATTAATGCCAGGGGGGTCATAGAGAAAGAGTTAACGTACCTCTGCTGTTCTGCTCTGCTGCGGGGGAGCGTGGTGGGTGCTGGTGGTGTTTAGGTGCTCTCTGTCCCCAAGGGCTGTGGGGAGGAGAGGGGTTTGGTGACGTGACCCCACTGCCCGGCCCCGCTCAGTTCCTGCTCCACCCAAGGCTTCCTGTGTCATCCGGGCTGTGCACTCGCTGTAAAACATCCAAACCCCAGAGTCGCCCCGAGCCTTTGGGGTCCCACGGGGCTCAGCGGGTCCCCAGGCAGCCTCGCTTCCGGCGCTGGGCACTGGCACCCTGAGTGCAAGGGTCGTGTTCGGGTACTCGGCGTTGGCCTGGGTGCTGAGAATAAACCCGCGGTGCTGCTGTGCCCTGTGTCTCTGGGGCAGGGGAACATCATCTCCTGGGGCTGGGTGGGGAGGACAAGCAGATGGAGCAGTCAGTGGGAAATGATTGCTTTTCCTGCAGCTGAGGAATCCCAGTAGCTTTTTGCTTCCAGGTGTTTCCCTTGTGCCTTGTGTTGGTGATGCGTTTACCCCTGGCTGTTTGAGCTTGGCAGGCGTTGCGGCAAGTCTTGGGCAAGGACCCCGCAGGATTTTCACGCACGTGTGCTTTGGCCTGGGTCTCCTGTCATATCAGCTCTCTGGCCGTTGTCTTTGGTGGACACGCTGCCTGAGAAGGCAGCTCTGAGCAGCGGGCAGACATGTGCCCTCGACACTGGCTGCCTCCCCCAGCCCACACCTCTCAGGTGTGCTTTTCTAGCTGCAAAGATGCAAAAAAAAAAAAAAGCAAACAAAACCAGAGCCACCCCCTCCAGTTCACTGGTTCAACGCAGGACTCATGAAGTAGGTGACTAATATTCTGGGAGAGGCGATGATGCCTGGCAGAGGGTCTGTTCTCTTGCAGCCCCCCCGCTTTTGGAAGCCTGTTTTGCTGTTAGTTCAGGAGTTTGACAGCTGATAAACCACCTTGTATGGCATCAGGTGCTGCCCCAAGGACGTGCTCACGGTGTTGCTGGTTACAACTCGCCCCTGGCACTGGCGGCGTGTGGCAGTCACTGTTTCTTGGGGTCCCCCAGTCTCCCTCTTCCCTCGAAGGGCTCCACAGCCATCGCAAGCCAGGCGTTGAAGGTGGCAATTTCAAGCTGATCACTAGTTTTGTCCTTGAAAGAATGAGTTAAAAGTAGATCCAGATACTTCACCCACTCTGCATTCCCCTGCCAATGTTTGTGGGTTTGTGATCATGTTTTCCTGTGATTTAAATGATTTCCTGTCCTTGGTTGCTGCCTGAAAGACGGGTGCAAACGAGAGGGAACTGACTGTGCAGGTCAGGAGTGAAATTGGTAATGAGACGTGAAGCCCCATCAAACCAGCTTCCCGTGCCGGGAGAGCAGGCGCTTCTCTTCATCCCTTCCTTTGTAGGCATCCGCAGGGTAATCCCAGCCCTGGGCAGCCCTCCCGTGCGCCCGCAGTGGTGGCAGTGATAGACCAAGGAGAGGTTGGAACAGGCAGGCTTGGGGTTAATGTTCACTGTGATTAATGCTGCAAAAACATGGGAAGGAAACCACATGTTTTAATGAAAAGCCTCCGTCTCCTCCTTCCAGAAACCTCGCAATTAGCTGCCTTCAGCTGGTTATTGATGCCAGCAAAGCGCATTTACGGATCTAGGTCAGCAAAAGGCTCTTCAGTGATCTGGGCTCCAGATGTTTGCTGCTTTTGACCGTGGGCCTGTCTTGGGGGTCCTGGGGTCCAAATTGCACTTTGCTACTTGTTGATGGACATGCAGAGAAATCGGTGTGTCCTCTTCTGCCATCTCTTGTGTCCCTGCTGCACATTAGGGGACATTTGAATGCTCGAGTGGCAGATACAAAATCAAGATTGCAGTGATTCTTCCAAGCAAATAATTCAAGGTCCTTTGACCAAGAGGAAAGGGTATTAAACTTCTCTGTTTTGAACAAGTCATGCTTGGATGTTCAAATCCTACTTACAACTTCTCTGCAGGCTGCATTTGAAGATATTTTTTGTTCTTTCCTTGTTCTTAATAGAGCAGCTTCTGCTCCGTAGCCTGGAGGTGGCTGTTTCAGTAGGAGGTGGAGTAAATCCTCAGGGTGTTGGGAGACATCAGCCAGATGCATTAGAGCACCAGAAGGACAACTGCCAGGACACCACAGGTTATAATTTGCCAAGGTGTAATTGGATGTAGATTCTTCTAAACAACTTTACCCTACGCAGATTTAGCCATGATGAAAAAGACTTTTGGCAGGTTGCTGGAAGATCATCTAGGTTGTGATTCTGTCCACAAAACCTCACTGCATGCTGGCTCTGTTGTGCTAAATAGAAACTGCTCCCACATTAAGCTGATTTGGAGCCTCATACCTGGGCACAGGAGGATGGCCAGGCTGTTACTATTCGCAAATACCTTTTTTTTAAACATTTCTTGCAATGGATTGTTTTTTTCTCAGTTGAATGTTTGCAAGTATCAGTGGGAAGGCATTTGAATATCACAATGCCAGGATTCCTCGATTTCTCTACAGTGATACTTTCCGCCTTGCAACACTAGTTTAATTCTTCCTGCTTGTTTGCTTTGCTTTTCAGTTGGGATGAGTCACTTATGCTAATAGAGCTGGCTGGGGAGTTACGGGGAGAATTTCTACTCTTACTAAAATGCTACCGGTCTCTTATTTTCATGGAGTTTTATGGCCTGTCTCCTATTCAGTACAGTTAAAATTAATTTCATGCCCCAGTTCATTCCAGTGTTTGCAGCTTCAAAAGCTTTTAAGTCCTATTTAGCTGCCTTGCTGTGCTCTGTTACCCGTCTGCTTGGGTCCCTTTGGTTCACCTGCGAGTGCAGGCTTCGAGCACACGTGGTTAATTTTGTATGCTACAGCTGCCGCGTGATCGAAGGCACCGTTGAGTGGTTTGTGCCAAAGACTTGACCTGCCTTTGATGGGACCGTGTCCTTTCTGTTTGACATACCTGCTTTGTCGGTGGGAAGGGCTCTGCCACTCTGTCATCAAGAAAGAAGGGAGCAAGACATTTGGTGCCCTCATTTTCATAGGGATGGTGAGCTTTACCTCTGCAGCTAGTTTGGCCCTTGCTGTTTTTCAAGGTGTGAATGTTTTGGCTTTACAGTGGACTGACGGGTTCCTTCAAGATGCGTTGCAGCCCCGAACACAACTGGTGGTCACTTGAACGTTTCTGCATTGGTCAAGGAGGTGGCAAAGACCCCTTTTTTTTAGATTTTGCTGAAATGCAGCAACAAATGGAGAGGACTCATGCACCAGTTAAGCACCAGGGCATCTGGTCTAGGCCTCTTATTTCAGTGTTTTGCCAGCTGGATGTGCAAGGATGGGAGCTGCTCATCCTACTGTGATTTTGCATATTCTCCAGACTCCTGGCACCAAAGATATTAACCTGCTTTCCTCTAAGTGTTTGAAAAATGACAAGATGTTGTTCACATGAGCAGGATCAATTACCCGCTGTCTACCTGGAGAAATATTCTCTGAGGGGGCCTTCATCTCTACGGCAGGAGATTCCTGCTCGGTCAGCTGTGAAAAACAGCACGGTAGGACTCTCCTCCCCCCTTCCCCAAGGCAGTCATCTTGAAATCGTGGTCTGTGGGATTTGTGTTTGAAAACAGAATGTGAGCTTCTGAGCCTCAAAAGCACACAAAAGGAAAACTGAAAAGCCCAGGGTAAGTATGTACAAGGTGCCGTTCACAGGGTTTGCTTTAAACCCTTCCCTTCAAGGGCTTCTCCTTGCTTTTCCACTGAAATTCAGAAATGTCGGGGTAAAACCAGGCTACATCCCCTTGGGATGCTTGGAGAGGTGTTGGAGAACCAACCAGGGTCTGAGTGTACTGTTAAAACAGAGTCAAGAGCTTGGTGTGACTCTTGTTTTTTGTGTGTCCAGATCCAGCAGCAGCAAAGCTGTATATATTGTTAATATTTGCACATCTGGGTTGCTGTCTGCAGCTGATAGCTTTTCTGGGGGGAGAAAATTTGCCTCTGCACAATCAAAATCTGAAGTCAGGATTTTCAGAGAGGTTTAGGGGCTTCTGAATATCTTTCTTTTTGAAATGAGTTCCCCCCCCGCTCCCCCCACACACCTCTTTCTCCCAAAAGAGGAGAACAGCTTTCTTCTGAAAATGTAACAACTACAGCTTTCCAAATC